GAAACAGATCACCAGCCCAGGTTGGATGCATGAGACAAGTGCTCAGGGCTGGTGCACTGGGAAGACCCAGAGGGATGGGGTGGAGAGGGAGACGGGAGGGGGGATCAGGATGGGGAACACATGTAAATCCATGGCTGATTCATGTCAATGTATGGCAAAAACCACTACAATATTGTAAAGTAATTAGCCTCCAACTAATAAAATAAATGGAAAAAAAATGATGTCAAATAAAATGCACACAATAAAAATTGCATATTGATATGATTTTTAATAGAACTCTGCATATAAAACTATAGGAAATGTAACTTTTTAAAATGCACTCTTAAAGATTAACGTATTTGGGTTCTTTAGAGAAACAGAACCATTAAGAGCTGTATATCCATATATCTGTATCAATAGATAGATATAAAAAATATGAGATTAACTCATAAGATTTTAGAGGCTGAAAAGTCTGAAATCTGGAAGCCTATGAAAACCAGTGGTATGTAGTTTCAGTCTGAAACCCAAGGATTGAGAACCAGGAGCACTGACATTCAAAAGCAGAAGATAGATGTCCCAGTTCAGTCCACGAGCAAATTTGTCTTTCATCTGCCTTTTGTTCTAATCAGGCCCTCAATCAGATGCTCACAGCACTGGTGAAGGCAATCTTCACTCAGTCTAATGACTCAGATTCTAATCTCTTCCAGAAATAGTCTGACAGACACACCCAGAAATAGTATTTGATTAGTTATCTGAGCATCCCTTAGCCTAGCCAAGTTGACATAGGGAATCAACCACTTTACAATTACAATTACAACCACTTTACAATTTACCAAAGAACAGTAAGAAAAATCATCTACATAGTTGCATTCAAACTCCTATTTTCTTTTTTATATTAATGTTTAACTGACATACAGGTGTACGACATAGTGATTTGATATTTGCATATGTTATAAAATGGTCACCATGATAAATCTAGTAACCAGCTGTCCCCAGACAAAATAATTACCATATTATTGACCATATTTCTTATGCTGTGTATTAAACCCCTCTGGCTTATTTATTTTGTAACTAGAGGTTTATATCTCTTAATCACCCCTTCACCTGTCTCACCCCCTCACCTTCCTCCTCTCTGACAACCACCTGTGTGTTCTCTGTATCTATGAGTGTGTTTTTGTTTTGTTTTATTTTTGTGAACCCTACAAATAAGTGAGACCATAAGGTATTTATCTTTCTCTGATTTATTTCACTTATTTATTTATTTCACTTATTCACTTATTTATACCCTCTAGATCCATCTGTGTTGTTGCAAATGGCAAGATTTCATTTTTTTACATCTGAATAATATTCCTTGTGTCTACATTTTCTTTATCCATTCATCTACCAATGCACTTTCCCAAAGACTTTAAGGTAAAACAGCTAACCACAACTGACTTTCTTGTTCCTACATCCAGCAAGCATTTTTCAGACTTTTTTACCTGTCTTCTCAGTAGCATTCAGGACCACTGGCTACTCTCTCCTTCTGGAAATACCCCCACTTTTGACTTCAGTGACAGGAACCCCACTGGGCTTTCCTCTTCCTTCTCGGACCATGCCTCCATCCCAGGCCTGTCCTCTTCCTCTTAGCCACTCACTGTTCGACTCCCAAGGCTCAGTCAGCTCTAGGCCTACCTCCACCACTCACTGCGTGGTCTCTCCAGGCAGGTTCCACCCAGGCTTCACTGCTATGTGTGAGTAGATGACTCACCCGTATCTACCCCTGCTCTGAGCACCAGGCCCACCAGTTTCTGACTTGACATGTTTGGATGTCTCAGGTGTATACAAACTGAATTTATCTAAAAACCAAAGTCTTAATTTCCTCATTAGCCCACTCCTAGACTTTTCTTTTTCTTGTATTCCCTATCCTTATAAACAATACCACCAATCAACCAGTGAAATAAAATATTTAATCAGAGAAATTCATACTTTTTCAGATAGATGGATATAGTATAAAATACGACCTTCCTGATGATGGGAAAGAAAAAGGCAAAATGAGAATAGGTGACAGAGGAAGGGATGGTTAGATAACATCACTAACTCAAAGGACATGAGTTTGAGCAAACTCCGGGAGATGGTGAAGGACAAGAGACCCTGGCATGCTACAGTCCTTGAGATCACAAAGTCAGACATGACTTAGCAACTGAACAATGACAACATAAAATACCACATTTGGAGGGCATAAGAAACCTAAGCAAGCATACTAAGAGACATTGAATAAATAAATGATATATATGAATTTGAAATTTAATAGGAAATTATGCATCTGCATTCTACTGAACAATACCCCTTCCTTCAGTAAGTGGACTTATCCTATGATAATCTTAATTTGGGTTCATTTGATAGCAGAATGTTACACAAAAGTTGGAAGCCAGCAAAAGCAAAATTTTAATTCATGGAAACAAGGATTGGCATGTATAAAATAGAAAAAGGCAACTCCATAGTTGCATTTAAGATGTACAAGATCATTGTCAGAGACAAACTTCCTTGGATGTCATCAGACATCTTCTTAGTGGTACCCTGCATTTTTTAGGAAGGTTGAGAGTCAGAGAGGGTCAGGCTGGAAAAGTTGAGGAAGGAGGGATAACAAAGGTAGCAGACTCTTTGCCTGTGTGTGTGGTAGATGCTCCGTTGTGTCTGACTCTGCAACCCTGTGGACTATAGCCCGCCAGGCTCCTCTGTCCATGGGATTCTCCAGGCAAGAATGCTGGAGTGGGTAGCCATGCCCTTATCCAGGGAATCATCCTGACCCAGGGATCGAACGTCAGTCGGCTGCATTGCAGGCAGATTCTTTACCGTCTGATACACCAGGGAAGCCCACTGTTTGTCTACACTACCATATATAATACAGCTCCTCATAACCTTATGACCAATCATCTTTTTCCCCAAAAGATTACTCATTGATTGGCATAATACATGTCGGTATAGGTTCCCATCAACCATAAATTCTGAACTTTGTACACAATTTTTAAAGTTTTAACATAGAGCATGTGTATGAGTAACAGACATCTGATAAAACATTAAGAAATCAAACATTTAGATAAGCATTTAGAGAAATGACTTACCATGAATTATGGGTTTTGAAACTGTCCCCAAAGGATTTACCACAAATCCCTTCACTGAAGACATTTAAAATTAGATTCAAAGAAAAACTTGAGTGAGAGAATATTCAAGTGAAAACTCCCACACTAACAAATATGAAACAGATGAATTTTTAGCTTTTTCTATTTTTAATATATACAACTGTTATTTATCTGATTCATTAAAAAGTAGATTGATATTCTCAACTCTTGGCCACAAATTATATAAAATAACATAAAAATTAAATCAAAAGCACTTCATTATGCTTCCAAAGGCGTGCAGCTATATGACAAGACATTCAAGGCCAAAATTGTAAACTTTGAATATTGCTTTTATCACTGACAGAAAAAGGGTTCCTAGGGAAGTTCTTCTTTAGAAAGTGATCTACTCCCAGGCTCCCCACAATTCACTAGGGATTAGGAACTGCAAGCCTGCAGCTGATTTTAATCGCCACGATGATGCATAAGGAGAGATGTGATATCTGGAGTAACTGGCTTCTAAACAATGAGGGGCTTTAAAGATTAAAGTCAACACTTTAAATTGCACTCAGGATGGAATAGGAAGCTAGTGCTGACCATTGAATGCAGGTGTAATATTCTCCATATGTTTTGGACCTTGTCACTGAAAGAGATCAAGCCCTCTGCATCACACACAATAAAAACTCCAGGACAATGCGTTATAACATGCTATCTAGAAGATTAGCAACAGAAAGATCATGATGGTAAATAGCACAACCAGATAGTGAAAGGTGTTCTTAGATGTAGGATGCCAATCTGAGAAACCAGAGGTCATCTGTGAGGCCTTTTGAGCCAAAATCAAGCAAGTTACTGCATCTCAATGTACTTTGAATACCTGCAATCTTGGCCTAGAGGTGAATTTGTCCATAGCTCCTGATGCTACCCAGTAACAGTGGGAAAACTGGACACATCAATAGCTGGCTAGACCCTTTCATGCCTTAGACTTTACACCTGAATTCATTAAACTTATTGTAAGATCAAATCATAAAACTTGAAAAAAATAATTTTTTTTGTAACCATAGTGTCCTAAAGAAACTGTGCAACCCTTAAAGGAGACAGTCCTTGGTGAGCTAAATAATATTAAATGTAAAATCTTACTGGAAAAACTAAAACAAACCAGGAGTGACTCTGCCAATGTGAAAGAAAATTCTCTGAATAGTAAAGTTTTGTTTTAGCCACTGACATATGGGAAAATTTATGTAGTAAAGTATATGCTTATAAAGTTTCAACTTATATTTAGTGGGGGAAACAATTTATTATACCAAAAGAGCATAAATGTATGACAGATGGTAATGCTTTTTTTTTTCTCTATTCTTGGCAGGGTACACTTTTAGCTGAAAGGCTTTTGCTTCTTAAAACTATGAACATTGTCATTCACACCTATTTTCTGAAATTAAACAGACCAATTCTAAGATGAAACTCCCTATAAATTTGGTTACTGTATAATGTCTTCCCCTTTTGTATCATAAATTATCTAGAGTACCACTTTCTCTAGAATAATGAAATAGGCCAAAACTAGGGAAAAAACACTTTGTAATAAAAATCTTTATTTTTAATTCTCTAAATCAATTTTGGAAAACCTATATTTAAATTTATTCTGGTAGGACATTACAAAGGGAACTACTAAAAATTATATTGCAAGTGCATTCTTCCTTCTTGAAATCTTTATTTTTGAATTTTAAAATGTTCAGTTTAAAAAAAAAAAAACTTGCTAAATTACAATTAGTGTGTTTAAATGTCTAGCAATGGATCTTGTTGGTTCATCTTCTGAAAAATGGCAAATATTTTCCTAAGTATATGTGACATGGGCAGACTAGGCTATTGTATCACTTTAATGTGCAGACTATTTTAAAGTAAGAAATGACAAAAACCACTGCAATGTTGTAAAGTAATTAGCCTCCAACTAATAAAAATAAATGGAAAAAAAAATAAAGTAAGAAATTTATTTACTTGACGAATAAGTGAAAGAATGTGCTATATGAGCAGGTGGAAGTCCAGGCAAAGGGTGAGCTCTCACTGGTAATACTAAATGAAGTCTCTCGAACAGTCCGAATTAGATCTTTGTGCTGTTCACAGTAGCCAAATTGCACCCTGCCTACTTGAAAGTAACAAGGCTGTTTTCTCATGCCATTTTGAAGGCTGACTACTGTTAGATTTACTAAAAGCTGATTCTCAAATGAAAACTATTAAAAACACTGGAATAGTTACAGTAACTTTAGTTGCTATAGCAAACCACAACATTTCAGCAGCTTAAAAAAATAAAAGCCTATTTCTCATCCACTTAATCATATGCTTAATATTCTCAAGCAAATGCCTTTGGTGGAGTAATCAAGGCGAAACTGAGGGAAAAGGGGCTCTTTGTGTCACAGCAATCATTCAGAGATTCAAGGATTTCCGTGTCACCCCAATAAACAGGCAAATATGGGAAGAGAATGAACAATCCTTGGAAGATGTAACTTACAACTTTAAGTTGTAAGACAAAGCTAGTGACATTTTCTCTGTGATTATAAAATAACACTTAATTTTATCCTTTTCTCCCTATTCCATTTTTTTCCATTGTTTTTCTTTCTTATCTGCAGTTGTTTTATTAATCATCTGCTAGTGATTTGGCTGAACTGATTGTACATAATATGTTTTATTTTGAAATATGCATTCACATTCAAGAAGAAAGAAAATTGGTAACATGGTATGACATATATAAACATCTAGTCAATTTTTTCTTATGAAACATAACTGGAAGGACAACAAACTTTTTTTACTGCTTTTCTAGTAAAGACACAGGACTTTTTTTCCCAAACAGTAAAAACCTATAGGAAAAATTATGATCAAAATTCAGAATGATGTAATCAGTTATTACTTTTTTTTGCTTATAACAGTGTTTATATATTAATATAAAGCTTGAATCTTTATATTCAAGCCATAATCCAGAGACAGTTTTCATCTTATACAGAAAATTTTAGTGAAGAATCAAATTTTGGAGAAAATTCTATGAGTCAATGGTAGCCTGGGTGGTTGCTCTGGAGACCCTCAGGAAAATCCCTTTCTGGCATGATACCTCTGGCATCACTATACATCAGACATTTTATCCTTATGACAAGAAGAAAGGGTTTCAGGTTGTGATTTGTGATTGCATGGATCTATTCTCCCAAAAGATAAACCATTCATATTTCAACAAGAAAAGTGGATTTTTTTTTTTTTTTGGTAAATTTCCTATGAAAAGACTTTCTATAAATTATACTTTCTCTTTAATATCTGTTTTAAAGAAGTGAGGTAGGAGGAGAAACTTTCCTTTCATTGATCCAAATTATGAATAATAGTTGAAAAGAAGCATCATCTTTAAACCTCAGGTGAAGTAAGACAGTAGTGAATAGGTATCATTATCCCATTCAAACACAATTTCTTCCTCAAAAAGAGCAATAAAAAGTGTCAGAACACTTTCTTGCAATGAGGGATCATCTGCAGGTTGTGCTGAATGAAGTTAAGCTTCAAGTCACGTGCATCACCTTAGCTAGCCTGGCCCATTGGGATAATTGAAACACCTCACCTCCAGGCCAAGTGCAGGGCTGGGAGAATGGGTAAGCACTGGTCACACTGCCTCATATAATGAAAAAGACTAAAGACTAAAGAGATAGCAAAACAACTTTGGCTGAACTCTGCTCCTGGTTGTCCTCAAATTTGTCCCATTGTAATAAAAATTAAATAAAAATAAGTCTAGCCCTAAAAGAGAGACATCTCTCATTTTAGCAGGCCTGAAACAGTGGTAATAGTAGTGTAGAATTCAAGCACACTGGAATTGGGATTCATATAATCCTGGATTTTAATTCTAGTGCTATCAGTGATACACTGTGAGACTTGGAACAAGGTTGTTTTTAAGTAAATAATGTAACAATGTACAGCATATAACCAGTGCTCAAGAAACAAGAGTTGTCGTTACATTGTTACGATAACTATCATTATTACTTTGGGAACTCTGATCAGGATACCTTTAGATATTGGTGCTATGTGAGGGAAAGAGGAAAAAGACTCTACTTAGTGGAGCACAGTGTAAAAGAACTTGGGCTAATCAGGAAGAGAAAAGAGTTTATAGACACTAATCCTGACTACAGTTATATCAAGAATCCTGTGCAAGAGTAATTGGACCTGTTTTAGTAAGGCCTTGGGAGGCAGAACCTAGACCAGAGCAGGGGATGGAGGTGGGAGATAAATTTGGCTTCATATAGAGAAGCATCTTGGGCAGATTAGAGAGGAAGAGAAAACAGCGGGCTGTCCTCTGAGTGGAGTCAGTTCGTCATTCTGAGTTTCCCAGAGTGGAAGAAATCTTGGTAAAGTAGTCGTGGACGGGAATCCAGGGATTCTGAATTTCTAGACAATGCCTCGGACCAGAGAAGGCTCTAAAGAAGAAGCAGAGGGTGGGGGTAAAAGAAAGTAAGCTTGACCAGCACTCGTTGTATCCTTTCCTCCTCCACTTGCTCATTTCTACGGCTAGGAATTTCTGATTTAACCTTGGGGACTGGAGTCCCGCCCACAAGTTGCCGGTTACCGTGGCAACGGAAGCGGTTGACCAGAGCGTTTAGAACCGGTTTGGCAGAGGAGAGCCAATCCCTTCAGGAACTGGGCGTGGCTTCGGTTACTGTGGCAGCGGGGACGCTTAGCCCGGGCCTGAGGCCAGTTTAGAGGCTAATGCTCCTCCCGTTCTTTACATGGCACCCAAGAAAGAGAAAGGCGGGACAACCACCACCAGCTCTAAGATATGGGAACCCTCGCTCATAGCTGCACAATTCAACCAGGTATGCCGGAACCCCGTAAATCCTCTCTGACCACCCCCCTACCCCCACGCCAGTGCTGAAGCCTGAGCCAGAGTCTCCAGGCGACGCTGCCAGGCTGGCCTTCTCTTCTAGACATCACCGCTAACCCCCTCGGAAAATTGTATTTGGTACCGCTCTCCCAGGCCTGATGGTTTTGTTCACAAAAATCCTAAGGTCCCACCCGCAGGGAGCATTGAGGGAACAGGGAAGGGGACTCCGATTTCAAGAGGGGATGAAAGTGAGGGGTGGGGGAAGAGTAGAGGTTCTGACATCTCACCATCCTTTTCAATGAAGTCATCCAGAAGGTACTCCACAAATGTACTGGAGTTGTCTTTATGAACTACTCACTTGCTCTTCATTTCTCCTGAGGAAAAAATCCTGCTGAATCATTTGTAGCCTGCACATAGTAAGACTTCAATAAGAGCTGTATGAAAACAGACATGGAGTATCAATGCATTTGGTATCCGTGTATTTAATACAAAGAAGCCTTCTACAGATGGGAATGGATGACTTTCTTATGCAACGCCCTAATACCACAATATCAAACGTTCTGATGTATTTTGAAGGTAGTCTAGGAGATCAGAGTAGTGAGGGGTTGACTGCTAGACTCATCCCTAGGATGACACAAAGGTAATCTGTAACCCACCTGCCATCCACCACTGACCAGTTCTCCACCCTACTCACACCACCTCCATTGAGCGGGGCAGCCCAGTACCTCCTGTCATCTGCTGCCAGAAATTCACTTCAACACTAAGTTGTTTCTAAGTCCAAGATAATGTGTGCAAGGAGGAATTCTGGGAATTCCGGGCTGCCATTCCAAAAGCACCTTAAAAAACTGGAAAATTTTTTTTCATTTTCTATGCGTATACATTGCACTAGAGAGTGAGTACTTAAAGGAAAAATACATCTGAAGTTTCAAGATGCTCTCATGAGAGATTTCTATTTGTCCTTATTTTCCACTATTCTAGTTTTTCCCTGTGAACAGTGATCCTGTCTGATATGAAATTCCACCAGATGAAGAATTTTGTGAAATTAGGATATTGCTGATTCTGACATGATGTCATGGAATTGGGGGTTATTTCTATAACCTTAGGAATGAAGGATGTCAACTCAGTAATTCCCAGTTACGTTCTCAAATTCTCAAAGATGTTTTTTAAAATACTCTATAAAAGCACCCTCTCTTTTGCTTTTATAATTCAGTACTAGCCAAAATAATTTTTTCTCCATTTTCTTTGAAATTGTGTAGGCCAAGTTTGGGCTTGGAGAGAACATTTCTGCTTGAATTATAAACTGCTGAACAACAGAGTCTGATGGAGCTGCTGACACTGCATTAAGCTTTAGTGTTGCAAATATGAAGCTATAATTTTCCTAGTTGAATGGAAAACCTAAAGGCACTATTTTCCCTTATGACTTGAAAACCTGAAATAATATTCAGCTTTCTTGTTCCTGCCTAAACAATATAATTTCAATAAATCTTATATAGTAATAGAAAGAATTTGAACTCAAAGAAAAATGTAACTTTAACTACAATAAGTAAACTTCTTCAGATTGTTGAAATACAGGTTCTTTATTGCAGAGGGAAGGCAACTACCCTCCACCTCCTCTTATATTTTTTTCTCAGCTTGGTTTTGTGTCTGATCCCAGAGGAAAATTCCCAAATTAAGCCTGCAGTCCAGTGCCCAGAGGCATGCCCTAACCACAATGTAATAGTCTCTGAATGTGGGTTAAAGATGACTATAGATGTGTGAATTCCTTATTCATAGGGCTTAACAAAGTTCTTTGTACATATTGGGTGCGCAAAAAATGTTATTGCTTTAGTTTCCAGGGTTTCTTTCCATGGAGTTCTACTGCTGTGCAAATTGTGCTCCATTATATATGGTTGAGTATGTGTGTGCTATTCTGTGTGCTCGCTCATTGGGGGCCAGAGAGAGGGAAGTTTTCCTCTCTGTCTTCCAGAAGCCAGTTTTTAGAATTAACTGATTAAATAGTCCTAATCAACAGCAAGTTTGAAGTCCTGTTTGTGTTGAGCTGCACTAGAGTTTACAGAGGATAAATAGGTTCACAACTTGGTTTTTGTCAATTTACTTTGGATCAGTATTTTGGGCTGTCTCTGAGAGACTAGAATAATCATCAAATTTTCAGTACATTTTAGTTGGCTCTAAAACACAAAATGATAACAAATAATACAAGGCAGTCTGTTTCTAAGCATTAGATGATTACATTAAGTCTAAAGGTTAGGAAGATCAAAGGGGGCTGAGATAGCCAGGAAATGCTTTTTAAGATACTTACCTTTATCTGAGTTCTGAAGAATAGGTAGAGTTTGAGTAAGTAGAAAGCAGGAGGACAGTTATTTTCAGAAAGGAGACCAATATGTGACTTAAATGAACCTGGAACACTTAAATTGAGAGAGGAAAAAATGCAGGTTAGATGGCTTCTAGGTGTACGTTGCTTGTAAATTAATTCTGTCAATCAAATGATCATTTACTAACTTTGTTATCCAGACATTTAGCTTGTTATTATATATGTGAATAGGTAATATTATTATATATATATTACATTATTAGTGTATTGAACTGTCACACTTCAAATTAGGTAAATTGGAAATGTTTAGGGACAAGACTATAAAAATGCATCTTAAAGCTGTCTTGTATATGACATAGACATTATATTTATGATATCTAGCTGCATTAAGCTGTTAGAGATGCTTTGGTGTTTTATAAATTAAAATCTTTTCATGCAACTGTCAAAGCAGCGTCTACTGGCCACAGTGAGAGGAACAGGTGTTAACCCAGGTCCTCGGTGATAAAAGGTGCTATCCGGAAGCATTTTTTTCTAAGATATTTTTATTTATATTTTTTATTGTGGTAAAACATACATATAACAAGAAAGTTATCATTCTAAACATTTTTAATTACTGCTGAGTGAATGGCATGAAGTATCTTCACATTGTTGTGCAACCATCACCACCTTCCATCTTCAAAACTTTTTCATCTTCCTCAACTGAAACTATATCCATTTCCTAATTCCACTACCTCCCTCCCCCCAGCACCTGGAAACACCCATTTTTCTTTATTGTGGATTTTTGTCCCAAAAATATGGTCTTCAGAATTTCCTGCTGCTGCTGCTAAGTCGCTTCAGTCGTGTCCGACTCTGTGCGACCCCATAGATGGCAGCCCACCAGGCTCCGCCGTCCCTGGGATTCTCCAGGCAAGAACACTGGAGTGGGTTGCCATTACCTTCTCCAATGCATGAAAGTGAAAAGTGAAAGTGAAGTCGCTCAGTTGTGTCCGACTCTTAGCGACCCCATGGGCTGCAGCCCACCAGGCCTCTCCGTCCATGGGATTCTCCAGGCAAGAGTACTGGAGTGGGTTGCCATTGCCTTCTCCGAGGAGTCTCCAAAAGTTTGAGTTGCTTTAGAAATCTCATAGGTAGAGTGTGGTTTGAGATTTTGTTAATCTTAGTTCTTAAATACTTTTATACTTTAAAATTATCCTTGGATGATTATGTTTTTTCCATTTGTTCCAAGTTTAAGGTCTCGTCTTTAGGTGTGGCAAGAAGGTAGCCATAACTTGTGAGACCAACTATTTGCATAGCAATTATTTCATTCGCTTACAGTGACCCACCATAGAAACTGTTAAAAAAACAGAAAAAAAAAAATTCTGTCAATCCACATATACCTTAACCCAGCCAGCCTCACTAATCAAACTAATCAAATTTACTGATTTCACTTTGTAAAGGTGATTTTAGATCCCTACTACCCTACTTAGGTATTGGACACTTACTGTCATTTACCTTACATTCATCATTAAGATTTTACTTCTTGATTAAGCCTTTGACCCTTCTTTAATATAAATATCCACATATTTTAAAACACTTGTAAACGTCTACTGTAATATATTTAGTTCTTTACTGAGACTCATGAGATCTTGCTTTTAAAATTTATATATTTTCATTATCAGTGTATGTTTACCCCTTTCAAATGAATAATAATATTTGTATCAAAGGCACAGATTAATAATATACATGGTAATGCTGTCCTTCACAATACTCACTCAGAGGTTGAGGCTCCTAGGGTATTTGGGCTAACCTGCTTCTTTTAAAGATCTGAGGATTCAAGTATTGTAAGTTCTGGTTAAGTTCTGGTCCAAAAATATGCAATGAGTTGGAATGTGAGGGACCAGATTACAGATTTTCTCTCTAGTCCTTCTTCCTTAACATAACATATTATATGTTATGATATAACTATAGCATTTAATATAGAACTTGCAATTTAAAAATATATATATTTTAAGCCAAATTTAAGAAGAAAATTAAATACTTTGCTTCAAATTTCAAGATCTATACAAAATGCTATTTTTTTTTTAAAGTGTGGAAAAATGCCTCCTTCTACTACCTAGAAATATGCCACATTTCCTGGTTGTGCCTGTAGAAATTTGGCTCATCAGTGTCTCAGACCACCTTCATCTCTCCACTTTCCAATTTCTGCCAGTGGCACTAGAATTCTTACAGTCATTGAAGTTCATCAAGAGCGAGTCATTGCTCTTGTTATTCAGCTGGCCTCAAAGTTCTCTTAATTTTTCCTTTAATATTTTCTCACTTTTGTCTCTTCCTTTCTTTTCTCATGCCTTCATTCTTCATTTTGACCCCTGAATTTTTACAATAGCCCCCTCACCTCTACTTATTATAGAATCATCTATTTTTGTCAAACCAAGCCTGTTTGTGAAACCAGTGACCACTGTACCTTTCCTAAACATTGCTCACACCATGTTCACGCCTCCATCAAAAAGTATCAGTGACTGTCTGTACTCTCAAAACCTAATCACCCTGGCTTCTTCAACCCTCTTTAGACTGGTCCCCATTTAACCATCAGACTGAATTGCTCCAGGCAAGGCGGCCTCCTCCTTGAAGTACAGACACACGGAGGGGCCCGTGAGCTGTTGGAGAAAGCCCCAGCGGTGGGGCCCAGCCAATCTGGGTAAACA